CGGAGAGGGAAGGCAGAGATGGAGATGCAGAGGAAGCAGCAGGCCAATGTGAGGGCGAATTGAGAGATATATCGTGGGATCGAGGGCATGACGGGCGTTCTGGTACTGTTTCTGGGCTGATTTTCTATGGCAAGACGCCGTTTTCCTATGTATTTACTATTTCATGCGCGTGGGCTGGCGTTCGGATCACTCTTGCTTCCGCCGGAGGAAGCGCCTGCATAGCCATTACGCCACTAGTTAGGCTGCAACAGGTTAATAGAGTGTTGATTGATTGATTGATAGTACGTAATAGCTATGCAGGTGGTCTCCAAGAATCAGTCTTGTTCTTATCCTTCTTCTTATTCCAATCCGACTTGGTCGCTTCTATCTCCAAACACCTTCTTCTCCTTACCTAGTTAACAGGCCCCTGTCCTGATAAACAGCACCCTCTTACATTGACGGGCTGCCCTAAATACCCTAGCTCCCGCGGTGGGGTCTGCGGTCGCACCCCATCAAAATTAATAGACCAACTTCAACCGCGCCAAGATTACAGTTTTCTAGACTGGATTGCTCTGAATTCCGTAGCGTCAAAGACCGACCAAAATGGCCAACTGGTGAGTTTATTGGGGCATGGTGTCACTAAAAAGATGACAGGGATTTGGGTTGAAAAATGGCTGGTATTCGCCGATACCAGCGACCCCCATGAGATGGCCACAATTCTCGTTCACCGTACATAATAAACTATCGGTATAAGTCGCTAACCCCTCGATGGGTCGCTGGACATGCGTGGGGAAAACTAGCTGCTAGGGATCGTGAACCCACCCATCCCACATTAACAACAGTCTCCTGCACATGCCGGGCATACGACGGGAAGATATTGTGGTTACCCCGTCGTAAATGCTCTACGATCCCCGTGGGCCGCACGGCATACTGGCACTTGCGACATACGATGACCTGATACTTGGGTAACCGGATGAATAACTGGTCGGCGGTTGGGCCTGGCACGACGGGTGATTGATTGATTGATTCATACTCGGATCTGTCAGGCGGTAACCGGCCCCTTACAAAAATTACCATTTTTGCCGGACCCTCGCGTAGCGAGGGTCCAACACCCCAACGATATCGCATTTTCCCATACTAAACGCGCTTTTTCAACACCATTAGAACCACCAATTCAACGCGAATTAGTAGGTAAGTAATATAGCAAAATGCAGCGCTCTCATTGGCCAATTCAAAAATACTAATATAATATCGATTATATCCGCGCTTAATGTAGTAGTCCTTAGCCTTACAAACCCTCTTTAGCTCCGGCATTATCCTTCGCCTCCAATGCGGCCGCAACTTCATTAACGCCGCCAGGTCATCTCCCTTCTTCTCTATTCGCTTCATGCGCTCTAGCTGGCTAGAGTGGACTATTCTAGTCAATTTGGCAGATTTGCGAGAGTTATTACGCTGACGCGCATAACGAATCTCTCGCAGATACGCCGTATTCTCTATATTCCGCTCCAATTGAGATGCGATATAAGAGAATTCAGTAGCGGCTTTAGCTAGCTTTTGACAAGCTGGCGTGTGCGAGATGGCGAGCGGTCTAAGCGGGAGATCCTATCCTCTAGGCGCTCCTCTAGCCTCTGAACACGCGCGAGAGTCTTTGGCGTGCTGATATCTGTGGATACGCTACCACCTGCTGCCGAGGACGGTGGGCTTGGAGTCATCCTAGTAGGATCTACTAGTTGGTCTAGCACCATCGTAGGATTAATAGGCTAGAGACTAGTTAACCTGAAACCGAGCTTAATAGTAGAAGGGTTGAATGTCTGCCGGCGAATTCGCGCGAGGGCTTCGAGGAAATCATCCTTAGTAATTCTCTCGTAACTACTCACTGTAGCATCATATACCTACTTGCTATGCTAGTGCTTATAAGCGCTGAATACACTAACATCAAGCAATTGAAGCAGATGGCTTGAATGCGGTGGTAGGAAGCAGATAATAATGTTGTGTCTCTCACAGTACTTGACGAAGTTCCATGTCATATGAGAGCCGAATTGGTCGCAGACGAGTAGGCGATGCGTGCCCTTAGTTGAATTAATAGTCACATTATGGAATTTCTCAATCCACTATTTTAAACACACGAATCTACGTAGCTTCCAATGGCCTCCTCAGTCCTCAGTCTTGGCTGATTTGAATATGAGGGGTCATATAGGAAGGATACATTATATAGGATAACCGAGAGGCATACGTAGAACATGCAGCAGTTGAAACGCAGAAAGGAGGTCCGATCTCGCTGTCTCGTCTCCTACGTCTCACTGCCAATTCCTTAGCAGGGAGATGCTGTTCTACCATCGCACTCCTGTCCTTGGGAATAGCTTCATGAAAGAAAGTCTGTAACACTGATTGTGGAGTGACTACTAGAGAAAAGCACCATTTCTCGTTCTAGCCCCACAGCTCCGTTGAAATTTGGGCACCGTTGTGCTGTGTGGCTTTATGGTCGCATGGCGAATCTGTTTGGTTATCAGCAGAACTAGGATATTTTGAAATTTATTGCTGTGAAGTTGTGGATCCGCGAGTTGACTACCTACAATCCCATGTTGACAGGAAAGTAACCGTTATACTGCTCGGTTGTGGGCTATTGCCCAGGATAAAATGGTCAAGCCACAAGCACGCATGATTATGAGTTAACGGCTAGGCCTCGATGGGTCGCTGGGCGGATGTGGGAAGAACGAGCTGCTGCGGATCCTCAACGCATCTATCCCATGTCAACACCGTCTCCTGTATATGGCGGGCATGCGATGGGCGGATCTGGTGATTACTGCGTCGTAAATGCTCTACGATCCTACTCGGTCGTATAGCATGCTGGCACTTGCGACACACAATAACTTGGTACTTGGGTAACCGGACGAATAACTGGTCGGCCGTTGGGGGTAACATGGTGGAATGGAATCTGGATTTATAAATATATATCTTGGACTGTTTCTGGCGGGTAGCGTACTGACTGTAGTAACGGAATGGGCGGAGATGGGATATATTCCGAATGGCTTTACACTGCAATGGATGATTCTCCGTGACGTTGACATTACCCCTGAAAATCCTAGTACTAACCTCTAACAGTCGCGTGACCGAGTTACTCACTCTACATACTAGTTATAGTTACTATGGATGAACCTGGCGATCGGGGGACTGATTGACGGATCTCCAGATAACCCTAATCCCGGTCGCACCCCATCAAAAAACCGACCAATTTTGGCCGTGCCAAGACTAACTTTCTCGTTATTGAATCTTTCTGAAAATTCATTTATTTTTAAATCAATATAAACCCTACAAACCATGAAAATCTGGAGTCGCTACCCCTACTTAAACCAAATGGGATGCATTGCCAAAATCAAATGGGATGCATGGCCTCCCAGGAAAGTGGGGCTATACTTAAGAAGCCAACCCTAAATGGGATGCAATGCATACCACCGACCCCCATGGGATAGGTGTAACAATCGGCCCCTTTTTAGGAGGCTCACTCTCTGAAGCAATCGGCTTTTTCTATACGTGTATCGTTTTTGGTGAGCGTTTAAGCCGGTCCAACTTTTGGCAATGACGTTTATCATGATTTTGGATAGCCTTCATTTGCTTGCTGGTTTCTATCGCTTCATTCACTTACGTAGACACTGTGCGTCCACGCAAGATACCGGCGTCTCAGGGTAGAAGCCATGTAGCATGCGGTGTGCGCGATGATTGTGTATAGGCAATTGGTACATCCACTCATTTCCTTCCGGCTCACTTTCGAGGTCGCCGACCTAGACGGTCTTGGTTAGCTTAATATACCACGTCTTTATTCTTTTCTAGTTATTTATCTTTCGATCTGTATCTCTACTCTCTTCCATTTATTATGACATCTTTAGGATACTGCATAGTCATCGACGTGATCAGAGAGATGCAATTGATACAAGTCAGTGTATTTGATGAAGTTATATGGAGATTAATAAATACGGACATCTTAGCCGTGCGAAAAGCAAGTGGATTTAGCCACTTGATATCCAGCATTTCAGGAGCCCTTCGGCAGAAACATGTGCACATATAGAATGGTAGGTAGATTTAAGTTGGCAGGAATAGAAGCTTCGCCTGGATAGGTTAGGGCGTGGAAACTTAGTTGAGCGGGAGAGGGGTGTGGTTGTACATACCAATCAACGAAATACACATAGCTTTCACAACTTTGGAAGATGCAAATATTCACCAATACCCCAAACCTCAATCTACGGATTGAGCAGCCCCAAGCGGCATGTTACTTTTATGGTCTCTTCAGCCAGAGTTAAGACTGCTGCAAGGATCCACCAGTGATACTAGCAGCGCTGAAATGTACCCCGCTTAGCCATTTATTGACATCACGAAAGTGGTGTGAACCATCAGTCATTCGCTATAAAGTTAACAGTGAAAAAGAGAGCCGGGAGGTAGACAGCTACTTTCGACGAAAACACCCAGTCCTGCCTCCTCTTGACGAGCACACACTGCGAGCTCAATTTCAAACAGAAAATCTACCACCGCGATTTTCGCAAGTGATCTATCTGTCTTGTCGCTGCGAAGTCCAGAGTGCCGTCCCTTTTTTGAACCTTGGCCACCATTCGGAATCGCTTTCTCTTGCAAAATTCAGCAGCATTCTCTATAATGATCTCATGCGAAGTATTCCGAGACGGTCCAAAAGATAAGTCCTCATAATACAGTTTTTGGCTCTTTTGTCACTGCATGAATGGGGATATACCGGGTTTAAAGATTGTTACGATGCCAGCATTACTATAGTACCATAAGGGTATGGGTTTAGACAAAGAGAAAGTAATTCATAGCACTTAATTCTGTAACTCAATACATGAACCATAGCTTCTCAATCGGCGTTTTGCCAGGTCTTACCAAAGTTACCAATTCCAGCCAAATCCGCACTCCAGACTAATCCCGTAAAAGTGATAAGGAACCAACTATGAAAAGAATATATAAGATCAAGTTTTGCTAAAAGATGGATGAGAGCTCTCTTTTGTATGGACTTTCGTTTATTGGCCTCGCCCTGCCGCTATTGTCGTATCCCTTACATTCTTCAAGAAAGGCAGAATAGACGTTCCCGCTGTCCCAACCTCGTTTACGCCCGACGCCTTCTTTGATGGTAGGGTAACCAGTCTCGTGACGACCTGGATATGCTTGCTGCGGAAGTTGCTCAACGCCTCCGTTGCAGCTATATATGCGGCTTTGAGGTGATGCTGCTCATCTGAAATTGGTGTCGTCGCAAAAACCAGCTCCCGTATGCTACCCATATCGCTGACATATTCTAGAAACCGTCGATGTGGACCAGGCATGTAATCCCGCGCCTCTGCGTGGAAATTTTCCCGCTTCGTGTTGGTCAAGTCGTTCTGTTCGATACCCAACACTATGTCAAAAAACTGAATAAGTGCACTCTGACCATTGCTTCCGCCTTGGAATTTTTTCCATCCACCATTGCCTTTGCCCTCGTCGTAAAAGATGCCTCTTGGTAAGCCTGCATTTTCCATGTTTTTGCCGCCGGCGTAAAATGGCCGAATTCGATGACAGAAGGTCATGGGATCACATTTCTCGTACATTCGCGCTAGCGAAGCTGTACAGTCATCGATACATTGCTTCAATGCATCCATGGCCTTGATAATGACCACATAATCTCGGGCCTCTATGGCTTGTAATGCTTCTAGCATGGGCTGTACAACCCTAGCTCCTATTGCTTCAATGGCAACGCCACCAGCAAGAAACCATGATTCTGACTCGGTTCCAGTGAATGATACGAGTGCTTGGAGATCATTCAGGTTGGAGAAATCCTTCCCACCGCAGGAAAAGTTCCAGAGGTTGGCGGCAGCGCAGGTTAGAACCGGAGGTACTTCAAGTCGAGCAGACACATGCACAAATGGTGCAGATATTTGGGGAGGAAGAACCTAAACGACAAAAGATGAGTCTCGCTTTTCTTGAATTTGGCAACTTCACCGCAAAGAGTGACCTATGGGATGCTTACCTCTTCTGGCTCATCCCCCTCCCAGATATAAGCATGCACCATATATGCCAGGGATACATAAGCTCTTCTCCATTCGGTTTCTGATTTCAAGCGCCTCGTACATAGTATTGGGAGCTCTTCGACGGTGCTTCTTAAACTGCCACACTGAAGCAATTGCGGCAAGTGACTCAAGATATGCTCCCAAGGCTCGTAGTACAGATCCGGTAGAATTCTCAGAGGGCATTCTTCCGGGAGAAAGGCAACCCTTGTCATCATGAATCTGCCCAAGTCTGTAACAGTCATCTTCAGGGAAAATTGTCAGTAATCATGTCCTGGTGCCGGAAGAAGATGGCTCAGCGACGGCCAAAGATATAACTGAGGCGAGGTGATAAAAAAGACTCGGATTTTCCGAACAGTCACGCAGCAACAGAGCTGTCTATATATCAACTATTCACGCCATTCGAGTAAGACATGCCGCAGTGGGAGCTGGAACTAAGTGGCGATTCCCATGGGTTTCCACCATACCGCATATTTCCCGAACCCGGACCACAACTCGGCGGTATTTGGAATGGGAAGGTTAGGACAAGCGTGCCCAATCCCCATCAAATGACACTCAAATTCCAACTTCTATGCGAGTTATGTTACTAGCTACATGAGCTAGTTACATAGCTTCGCCGCTGCGCAGATAGATTTGATACGGCAATTTTTAATATCATCAAGGGCTAATAAGATCTTGTCCTCCTGATTTGCTGATTTCTGCCAGGATTCAGAGCGAATTGGTGGCATGGCTGATGGTTGAAGAAGGTAGGTACGTGGGAAAACGCGATTTTGGATGTGGTGTTCCGAATGGCCGGGAATTACGTTAGTAAATTAAAGCCGGGTCTAAACTCTAATAGGTTCCGCTTCCGCAGCATACCATCCGATCCAGATTCGGCTGATACGGGCGCAGGGTCCGATGCTGACACCTGACCGTCGGAAACGGACTTCCCAGGCCACAAGATGGCTCTAAAATCGTACACCCTTTGAGAAGGCCGCAGTAATAACGAGAAGGAGATTGAAGAAAATCCCCGTATCTAGTAACATAATTCACAAGCCGTGGGTCACACAACCGAGTCGGTCACCCCAAAACACCTTATTAAATGCGATATTTGTGTTCTCTATAATTCAAGTATATAGTTATTTTGCCTTAAATTCGAGGATATGCGCTTTTCTAGTAATGCTAGCTTAGGACCTATTATAATGACCCGATAGGCTTACGGCCGCAGAATATAGTTACTTGGCCACTTTGGCTAGGAAGTCGCTAATATATCCGTCCTTAGGAACAAGTCACTATTACTACGTAGGCTCTAAGAAGTAAGTTCGGAGCATCTTAAGTTCTAGGATCGAATACGACTTTCCACAGACTGAGAGGAGTGCACACGATATGTGCGTAGAGAGATGTATTTCTGCCGGCTATCTGAAATGGAATTGTGACATCCACATGCTGCCAGAGGGTACCACAATCTTACGAAAACTTACCAACATTCCTTTTCAGTTGAGGTCTCCAGCAAAATATAGCCAAAAAAAATTACAGAAACAGCCAAACAAGAGGAAAAGATATTTATAGAGATTAAGGTTGAACTTTGTTGAGATGAGGGATAGGATCTAGGAGGAGCTATCGCATATGCCAGCAATTGAATATTATTGAAGATATCTAAGATAATCCCTGAGCAGAAGCGTGCTTTTTACGCCTCCTAATGATCGACATTATCATCCAAATTAGTTTCTCACATGATATCTATCAATGAAGTTTCGGCGACATCGAAGACTGCTTAAACCTCAACAAACTTCCTCTGTCAAGTTATAATACATGCAATACCCAGATAGAGGCAAACAAGGTAAGATCAATAAGCAGGAGTAAATTGAAATAATATATTGTACAAATACAAAGGAGCAAACCCTCCACCCTTGACCAAAGATGGTCAGCCTTGTGAAGGGGTAGACTCAATTACTACTCGGCTTCTCTCGTGCTGACCTTGACCTTTTACTGCTTTACGAGCTCTATACTGGTATCAAAGATCATGTATCCCAAGTATGTAAAATCTAATGATATAATAACAACCAGTTAAAGGCCTGAAATTCCGGGTATGTAATACTTGCATAAGCTGTAGGACACGCTATTTATCCTATAGACAACTCATATTTACCATTCTGCCTTTTGAGAGTCGGGTTGTTTTTCAGGGTTGGCAGGGCCAATTGGAACCACGGTGGTTGTAAGAAGACTGGAAATGGAGTTAGCCGGTCCATCATACTAGTGTAGATACTTTGGTTCTGTCTTATATCTTTAGTATTCAGCATCGAAGACATGGTCTCATAATAGCAAGTGGGGATATTAAAGAACCCTGGGGTTCTGACCCCAGCTCGCAAGGGGAAAGGATCTCCATTGATGTGTCCATTGCTGTCAATGACATTTGAGGTATCAGGCATCTGGTACCCTGGTTTATCGCCGTTGGCCTTGAAGCCGTTATATGCACTAGGAGAGCAAGGTCAGAAATTTTAAGCCACTCTAAGCCATTTCAACTTACCTAATAGCGATATCGTCAATCGTCAACCCTCCCCACGTTCCCGTGTTACCGGTGAGAGTATCTGTGTCGCCTCCCGGTAGGTACTCCGGGGCACTGCAGAGAGGTCAGTTGGCTAACAAAAAGACCAGGAGTAAAGGACAAAAGGGCAAAATCATACAATACTATTCTCTCCCCCGCCTTCATGTCCCGGGTTCCTGGAATTTGGCATAAGCAAGAAAGATCATGGCAACAAGAGAGGAGGCGAATGAAAAGGGAAATATACCGTATACATAGATTGTGACACCGTCGACTGCACACGATCGGGCTTTTGGAATAAAAAGATGCATATAATCCATTCCTGAGTCGCATGGTTGGTTCAGAATACTATAATGATGTGACTTCAGGTCAGTTGTGTTTCTGAGGGACAATATCAAGATCCGAAATCCATACACTACAGTGGGGTAAATATCGGGGGTTAATCTCCAAGCCTTTTCAGCCAACAAGCCATAGAGAAGATGTTCGAAGTCGAGCTTAAGGTCTCGGTTATCGACGGTTGAGAGCGTAGAATTAATCCACATGCCTTCAGAGAACAAATCTTGAATGCCAACGAATGGTGATGCAGAGTAGTATCCACCCTTCTGAGCAAAATCTTTGACCATGACCGAATAGATATTCTGCATCGCATTGGTGATTTCCGACAAGGCATTTCCAAGTTATCCTTCATTAATTGCCTGTTGCTCGGCGCTGCAATTTGATGAATCTCATGATTAGGCTTTGGAAGTTGTCTGCTTCATAGGGTGGATTCTTACGCCGGCAAAAGATCCTTTCCCATGGTTTGAGTTCCACTAATGATACCGACAAAGGCAGAGGTGCTTTTGTCTATCTTCTTTCCCTGGATGCTATTTTTTATCAAGCCTGCTTCGAATCCAACATAGGCGTTGAACACAGAGAGGAGTATATTGCTAACATCGAAAAGGATCTTTTCCATCTCGGTATTGTCCTTGACTGGAGGAGCAAATTTTGATGTTAAAGTCCCCAGCTCTGGGGTTATATCGGCTTCCGCATTCTGAAGGGCTGTGTTTACATTGCTCCATAGCTATTGTAGTCCGTCAGTCAGGTAATCCCTTATACGTCAATAATGGAGAATTTGGAGAGTTGTGATCACGCACATTATGAAAATTGGCAAAAGAATTGAGGATCAACCATCCAGCCGGGCTGGACACAGTCTCACACTTTGAGACACCCGCATCACACGGACCACTGACCAATTGACAGTCGAAGTTCTCAGGACCATGGAAGTAATGAGATACCGCTCGAGAGAAGGTCAGGCTGCCACCCTGCAAGCGTTGCTGATTGTAGTACTGCGTCGCCTTCATGAATGCGTCATCCGCCCCCGCCTTTTGCCAACGGGTCGCGGGATCAACAGTAGGATCGCCAACCTCAGAACAAGAGCTGGGTCCAGTAGGTCCCGAGGGAGACCTCGGAACCGCAATGAAACCGTCCAGAGGAGCGCCTTCCACTGAGAGGAAGGCGAAAGTTAAGGTTATCACAGCCAAAGTTATACGCATGTTTGTCGTGCAGGTTGCATCAATAGCAGTGACTGACGTCGGTAAACCTGGAGGTAGAAAGGATGGTACAAAGGAAGATTCTGGCCTTCTTGTTGATACTTTTGCCGTGTACTCGGTGCTCATGGGCTTTCTTATATCACAGACATTCAGTAAAAGAATCAGTTCAGTAACCTTTTCGGCCGAATCTCGCACCATAGGAACATTGGAAATCGGGGCTGTGGTTTCAGAAACGGAGTTAGATGCACATGAAAAACCTTACTCCCTTGCACGTGTAGCAGGGTCTGGCGGAAGCATCCAAGACGCCCTCAGGGTATCTCTTGTTTTCATGAGTTGTCCTAAATATAGCCAAGTCTAACGGTTGGTAGGTTTATGGTTAAAAGTTCTAGATTTCCAGCCCTGCTGATTGGCTGTGGCATTCGGCCGTATGATGTATCGATGGGAAGTGTGCTTGAGATACAGCCGGAGAAATTTGGTTTCCTCCAGTTAGGGATTTGGTTCCAGGCCACGTGGATCTTGCCGATGTCTTGGCTGTGATGTTCCTTCCCGATGTCTTGGTTTCTCCCCGTCTAGGTTCGAGTTCCCCTTGCAGGTGCTTCTTTCAGGTCTCTCCTCTCCTGTCGTGTCCCCTCTAATGTGTCCAGTAGTTTTTTGGTCGCGGGATTTCGTCAGTGAGGTTTTCCTCTTCCAGGAGATTCTTCTTCAGATGGTCCTGGCGGGCCATAAAGATGGAGATGATTCTTCCCCATGAGATAGTGATATCAAAAAGAATTTCAATTTCATTTTGCTTCATCACATTGTTTTCTTCCTTCTCGTGGCCGTACTTCAGCCTAGACTCTGTGTCCAACATGTGTATCAATATATCGAATACGAGGGAAAATGCTGAAAACCCGTCTACTGTTTAGGAAGGATCAAATAAGCATATCAATGGGCAACCAACGATGCAGTGCCAACATCCAGGCATTGGAAGAGGTTCAGAGTACGTGATGTTTCCAGTAAGATTCCTTGTTCGGAAGGTAGTTTACCCCATAGTAGGCAGGTTGTTATGGCCAAATCTCTGAGAGATTTTTCACGTACGAAGAACCCACCAGGTACAAGCTGGTATAAGTAGGTTTAACGCACTTGCTTGGTGTTAAGTCAACACCTGTAGGTTAGCTAGGATCTTGTTCGCGCTAGAAAATTTCGCCTTTTCATGATAATTAAGACCGTCACCCTCCATATAATATCCTCTGGAAACATATTCTCCAACCTTCCATGACAAGCTAGTAGTGCAATGACGATGGTTCTAAATCATCCCCCAACCCATTCTACAACTTTAATAATGCTTCCCTGAGAGCGGTTACGTGACTAACAACGCCAAGGAAAATAGTTCGAAAGCAATCAATACCTTCCAACCTGGCTCACTATCTCCAGGTTAGTTTCGATGATAGCAAGAGCAAGGGTGAGAATGAGAAAATGCCAGGAACAAAATCCCGCTCATGCAAAGCGCCACTTCATCACAGACCTGAGCAAGCTATCCTTGCCCCGCGGGGCGAACGGGTCCCGCTCATTTTTGTGCTTCTGCAGCTTGAGCAGTTGCTTGGCGGCATCGACGTCGATGCGCTCCCCGGTATCAGTGATCTTGAGCGCCCACTTGACATCGTCCACATTGTAGCCCAGCTCGTTGACCAAGTGAGCGATTGCACGATCAACGGGATCTTGGACCCATGGACGGCGGGGTGGGGGCGCGAGAGCTGGTTGGAGGAGTGGGCTGCAGGAAATAGGGAGATTTGATTCGGGGATTATGAAGCGTGGCGGGGTGCGGCTGGGAGTACGACGGCCCACGCTAGCTGCTGTGGAAGAGGAGAGTCGGTCAAATGATAGAGATGGGACGGGCGGAACGGGTGGTGCGTCGCACGGTGTTGCCACGTTGAGGTAGTGCACGATCGTGCTGAACTCCGACATGGGCCGTTCATCGGCGAAGGATGTGCCTGGTGCTTTCTCGCGGCTGGGGGGCCCGTGTAGACGGCGGTTGCGCAGCTCTTCTTGGAATTGATTGTGGCGCTGGAGGGATTGAGGTTGGGGACAGGCGATCCGTTCGGCACTGCTGGACGCGAGGAAGCGCTCTAGCTCTTCGTAAACGCGAGAAACGGCTTTCTTAAGGAAGGTTGAACGGCTAGTTTCCGTTTCGGTGGGCTCCCATTTGGTCAGTCCGCTGCTTTGGGCCTTGCTGAAGGTGGCGGTGGTGGCTTCGGCGGGCCAGAGCGAGCTGAGAGTCAAGACGGCAGAGAGCCCAAGAGTTAGCATGTAAGATGTCCATTCCTCTGTGACCATGAGTTAGCAATTTTTCATTCAACAAGTTGCTGTTATGCCGCTCTATCACTTACCTAGTGCAGTCTCTTCGCGAACGGTATCACCATCAAGAATGTCCAGCCCTTGGAAGATGCCCACGTTCCGGGCCTCGACACTCTTGCCGTGCAAAGGTTGCAATAACACTTCCAGACAGGTCCAAATCTCTGTCATATCGTACAGCTGCTTGGCAGAGAGACCAGCGACGCTGTTTCCACGGGCGAAACCTTCGGGCGGTTCAAACAGCACATTGTTCATATCAAAAGGCGCCGTCACGATGGAGGACGCTCCAAACGAGCTCCTGGCCTTGGGTCCGCCCTTTAACCAATCCATCTGGCCTTCCAAATCATTCTCGCGACCCTTGCCACTCCCAAAGATGCGACAGAACGTCCAAATTCGCCAAAGAGCATCGTCAACTTCTTCGGCGCGGACAGTATCCACGCCGGAAAGGCCCTTCACTGTATCCCGACGCAAGAAGGGCGAGCAATGAACCAAAATCATAGACTTCAGCTGCACGAGCGTATAAATGTCACACGCATACCGACCCAAGTACAGTTCCGGTGTATACTCAGGCAGCGGTGTATCCGGCTCCGGCAGGAATTGCCACTCGTTCTTCCATGGCGGGCTCATCTCACGCAATTCCCACGCCGGCGGCGACATGCGGAAAAGAGCGCCCTTGATGAAGGAAAGCTCACGATGTTTGAAAATATGATAAAAGCGCTTGTTAACGAGCACGAAATTAAAAAGATCATCCAACGAGTCGATCCGCTCCATGATCAGAATGACCAAATGGTCCGGAATCTCGATCAGGAAGTCAACGGGCATGTGTGGTCTTTCTATGAACATGGCTGGAATCATGGATGTCAGCGAGGGCGGCGTTGCCACGAGTTCGTAAATCTGTTCGGGTGGTAGCTGCACACTACTCGCCTGCGCCGCCTGCGAGTACTGCAGCCTTTTGCAGACGACGAGTTCACTGGCAACTAGCATTTTCTTATCCTCTGGCGGCGTGGTGCGTAGCTCGAGAGTTGACACTTTGGCATCGCTACCTACCGAGGCGGCAGCCTGCGCGGGGTGGGGATGTTGATGTTGCACTTGCTGCGTGAGGTTGGCGGGGCGGGACGAGGGAGCCGCCCGCTGCTGTGGTTGGGGTTGTTGTGGCTGCTGTTGCCGCTTTTCTGTTTGTAGGTGGGCGTGGAGTTCTTTCTCGATGTTGAACGACCCAGAGAGATTTCCGAAGCCGAGATCCCGAGTCTGCAGGCGCCGGAGTTGCAGGAGTAGATTGTCATGCTTGGAGGCCGTGCCGGCATCCAGATCCAAGTCCAAGTCCAAGTCCAACTTCAAATCCAAACTGGGATTCGAGTGTGAAGAAAGTCGGGAGGCCCCATTTGAGCGGGCTTCGACGGGAGCGTGTGGGTCTGGCAGGGAGGTTTCCGACCGAGAACTCAGCACGACGCTCAGGCAGGGTTCTTGCGGAGTCGGGGCCCGAGGGCCGTTTGTCCGCCTGAAGAATGGTATAGTCGGGGTAAAGGATTTTTGTATCTTGGGAACCTCGTCGGCGTGGTTGAAGTTGGAATTGGAACTGCTGGAAGGACACTTGGCCTCGTCCTTGAGTCTGGGAGTCTTAGGGGGTTTGGTGCCTTTAGGAGCGGCCTCGTCTTTGTTGTTGGAATCCTTGTCGGGTGAGGGAGGCGGCGGCTTCTCCTTGGTCGCACGTAAGGACTTGAGCGTGTCCGTCCAGGGATTTATCGCATTGTCAACTGGTTCGGCATTTGCGTGGATATTCTTGCTCTTCTTAAACGATTTGGATGGGTGTTTTTTGGAGTGTGGCTTTGTCGAGGGAGGCAGTGGTGCTGGTCGCGTGGCGACTAGATCGCCGTTGTGTCGACTGATCTGCAGCGGTCCGTCTAGCATTAGCAGGGTCCGTTGCTGCATATGTGGGTCTCTTGCAAGGTCGGCTAGTGCGTGTTCCAATTCTTCTGCAGCCTGTGCTAATGTTGGAATATGGCGCAGACGCTGGCCATTAGCGGTTTCTGACCACCCTGGGCGACGGGTTCGGCGGGATTGACGGGAGTCACCAATACTACCACCACCGCCGTACCCCCCGCATGTATGACATGCTTGCTGGTGTATGCTTGTGGTGGAGTGAGTCCAACCTTGGTGATGATAGGCAGAGGGGAATGCCGTTGATCGCGATGCTTCAGTGGTCGCGGACGGATGAGTGCAGCCATTGCGGTGGATCGCTAATGGGCTGGGCTCGAGAGGGAGAGGCTTGTTCTTGATGTCGTTCAACGACAGTTTGGAGGAAATCGAGGCGCGTCGAGATTGGGGCATCGAGCTCAACGGATAGGTTGAGCTCACCTCGTAGCCTGGGCTGGGTGCCGTTCCAAACGGCACTCGTGTTGCGAATGACGGGATTCCTAGGGAACATACCGAAGTATCATCATCGAAGACACCAGCCGCAACGGGCGAGAGGATGGAGTATCTATTAAGTTCCTCTGTGGCCAGGCTGAAGCTTTCGGTCTTGACACTGGTGATAGAACTCCGGCGACTGTAGCACGACGAGGCACAGTCAAAGACATCCTCCGAGCCCGAGCCCGAGGATGATGCCGTCTTTTGCGGCGAGGTTCTTTTGGTGATCGGGATAGCCGATTCCGTTTGTTGATAGCGGTTTGTTTGAGATAGTCTGAGAGTATCGATCGGCTCTGCAGGTGGAGAACATGCAACAGGCTCTCGTTTGGATTCATCGACAGAGCCCTCCGCCATCAACAATTTCATCTTGAGCGGCACTTCTAGTGATTCGTTTTCTTCATTTCCTTTGTTCCTTTTGTCTTCCAATGACTCTGAAATACTGCCCCGCACGGCTCTGGCTGGCGGGCCCCTCAGACTAATATCCTATCGGACCTGAGCGTGGAAGAGACTGCCCTCGCGTTTGAGTGGCGGTGGCAGTCGAGCTCCTTTCTTATCCTTCTGCTTTGTGGAGTTTCTACGCAGTCGAATAAATAGAAAGATTCGAGGCGACACCGACTTGAACGAGTTCGAATCGCCTCATCCGCTGAGACTTTACAATGGATTATGTTTGAGGACCGGAAGGCCAACTATGACGGGGGCGAGTACTGAACCAGGGCTTTATATTGCATGATTCTTCTGCCCAGACCCGCAGTTGGCATTTCTTGTGGATCCGTGCTGCAGGCCAATGCCACGATCGGTACGGCCGTATAATCACCGCTGGTATAGCAAGTCACAATTCCGTAGGGGGGCTGGTCTGCAGGAACTCCCAACTCGACATGGAGATTGAAGCCAAAAAACGATGGAACAAAATAAAAAAAGAAACGGCAGCGACCAAATACTTATTTCAGTAATTCGTGAAATGTCCACAGCAGGCTATTTAGAAAAGTGTCTTCACTCTATCTTCTAAGGTTTGGCCAGATCAAACCCCTAATGAGTCTCAAATCCGGTCTCCGTCGTAAACTCCTTCACGCTGATATTTTTCAATGAACTATCCACCTAAGGGTGGCTTGGCAAGAAAGCTAAGCTTAGACGACAAGTATCAACCAAGCAACCTTGACGCCGCTTGCTGCCAACCAGGTCTCTGTTTCTCCCAATGTGCCTGCACGGCTTCTCCTGTACCGTCCATCACCTCCATACGGTGCTTTTCAAGGAACTGCGAGAAAATATGCAGAATAACAGTGCGATCACTCGTTCAGCAGGGGAGTCTTCTAACCACGTAAGCGGCCAAATCAACGTAACCATCGGAAGAGACGGAACACAAACTCGTAGAACCTGTCAAAAGCCGACCTGTAGGCTTGCTTACTTTAGAGATAAGAGTCGCGGTACCCGGTTGCATTGCATTGAACAGCCTGTTGAAGCATCAGAAGTCCGCATAATTTGTAGGATTGCGCTATCTGGACCATTGCCTCGGTCTAGGTTTCCTACCGAATGACGACTCGATCGACCACGCGCGCAGTCTGCCCTTTAGAAGTTTATTGCCTTTGGTAATGTCTCCGAGACAAACGCGGCCAAAGGTACCAGTTATGTTATGAACTAGTGGCCTAAGTTTAGCAAAGCAATCAACGTGTGTCCATATTGTCGAAGAACTCGAGCAAAGGGTCACTACTGATCTGAAGCGGTTTGTATTTCCAGCGACAGAGCAAGTTTCACTTTGAAATACTGGAAAATCTTGCGAAAGTATGAAAAGCACGGGGTTGAGAGCGTCATAGTGTTATTTCAATAAGACTTTGGCGCGCTGGAGATGACACCAAGCCATACTTGCAGGATTTTCCGCACAATCTGTCCGTGGACTTGTAGGGTCAGTACATACATCATGATCGGAAACCAGAGAACACTGGTTCCCGATGGAAGATGATAACTCATAGTATATCAAAAGTAGACTGCTGACTAGAAAGCCCACGGGTAAAGCCTATCTAGCTACGGGCGCAATACTTCCACTGCGACTAGATTCGATGCTTTTGAATGCAACTGGGTTGCTCGATTCCCGGACTCGGCGCTAAGATGATAGAGATATGCTTCCACCGCACCCTGGACCTGGGCTGAACTCGACGTTAGTGACAGAATATGCTGATTTGGAACGTCTGCCTGATGTAATGAAAGCTGATGAGGCTCGCTAAGATCGTGTGGAAATGAAACATCAACCGTGATTGGGAGTTGATCGGTTGTGGGTGGGTCGCGCCGATGCCCAGCCGATGTTTGCGCCTTGAAGTTGTCGTCTCCATTGCCGAGTTTGGGAATATTCGGCTACAGACCAGTCTGGGTAAATGCATTCCAAACCCTGCTCTCTGTGTATAGTCGACAGCTATGTCGGGCTTTGCCGCGTTTCTTGCGGCATTTGCGACTACACGTGCGGGATTCATTAGCGCCCTTCCCCCGCACATCGACACTACGGGGCTTGTTGGGAGGTTATTGATAATTTCCACACCCCCAACAAGATCTTGTCTCTTGATGTTGTGTGGACATGTCTGAGATGCGTTCAGTGCGTTTATCCAGCACGATAATGTTGGCATAATGACTATTGGACCAGGGGTTCGCTGCGGGGTCGGGCACGAAACTAGAAGGTTCGTGATTACCATGTGATGGGTCTAAAGTATATTCCCAGGGGAGATTGGGATGTTATGAGGCGTTTTATGGGAAGTAGGATGCCAAGCTATGGGTGTACCAATAATAAATCTTGCGCAGAACATCAAGCAAACCATGATCATGTCAAGGAAAGTGAGAGCAAAACAGAGAGAAAGCAAAAAGAAAGGCTGGCCTTGGCTTCTACACCAGTTCGAGCTCCACTGTTTTGCGAACAGTAGATCATCTCCACACTGGGGAACAAGCAATATTACCTATAACTTATCCCTCCCGCCCCCTATTCAAGCTGGACAAAGAACAATGCGACCAAAATAGCAACAAACACCACGGCTGCTATAACAATGCCAGCAATCGCTCCGCCACTCAATCCACCGCCTCCACTAGATAGACTACTGGTGGTGGTCGCGCTCGAGGTTGCCGAGGTTGAGCCTCCGGAAGTTGTTGAATCGCCGCCCTCGGCGGGCATGGACTGGCCAGGTACTAGCATGTACGGATAGGTGAGTGCTTTGTCGTATTGCGCATCGAAGGTTTGGGTTGAGTTCTGCAAGTTCACGTTAAATTCTTTCCCCCGTAGAGGCTTCATTGTTCTAGACTCACCGGGTTGATAACGCCCATCATTCCATTTCCCACGCATGACCCGATTCCTATATTAAGTAAGAATACGAGCTACTTAACTAGCAGCACTATTAATTACTTGAGTCTATACAACGAAGATAATAACGTGTATTTACTTTTCTTCGTTATTGAATACAGTCTCAGACTATAACATTACTTTATTTCATCCACTCACAGAGTATTGTATATACACTCACCAAAACATCGGGAACAGCCTAGCCAGCTTAACGAGACGAAAAGGCAAATTTACGGCCAGATTCATACGTTCTGGTATATTACGGCACGTGCCTGGGCACAGATAGCCAAATAAGCCAAAAGACCAAATATGACAGACCTTCATATTCTGTCATGCCTAGGACCGATATAAGTAGCGCATATAACATTAGGTAGACGGGCCTAATATGGTATTAATATAGACTACATTCTCGCCAGTCATCTTCGCTCACCTGGTCTGGCCGTTAAGATTCCAAAGAGCATCAAGTATAGTAATATTGTTTGAAAACGTAAGAAATCGAACCTCGGATCGATTTCTAGCAAATCGTACTTTAGATGACATTTCGGTATACAGAGCACTACTATTTATTGTGCGAGCCTCGAATTACAACATTGCGTAAAAAGGCCCGAGTCCAACCGTAAGCCATAATAATGCTAGCTTAGATCGCATTTCGGCCGCAAGGAGAAAGAATACGTTCCACATATACCTTTACTGCATGCTATCGCAAATAGCAGCTAATGTCGCCTGATTCTGTATAAATACCAATATATTCCCTGTCACAAGAACGAAAGAAAATTATATTCTTGAACAGAGACGGACCTTGCAATTATTCCAAAGCCAATATGCAGTTTAACAGCACCATACTAGCCGCTATAGTGCTTGCCTTGCGAGCACTACTGCAGCGACCACCTTTGTAAGTCAAGACAAGATGACGATTTACTTCAGAACGAACTAACTTTACCTTGTCATCTCCTATAGCATAACACTGATACAACTTACTATGTCAATGTTGAGCATGATGACGGCTCCAAAACCTACGTTGCACCGGGATCTAGCGTTCAGGTTTCGAATGGATGGGCATACATTCGGGCCTGCCAGGAGGCAGGAGGAACCACATTTGTCTATCCACCAGGGCTCCTGCAGTGGCCAGCCTACTACGGTGATGTATCTGGGCACCCTTATGGACTCTACAGGTATGTTGATAGGCACATACCCGCCATCTAAAGATCAAAAGGATTAGCTAATATCATTTTCCAAACCAAGGCAAAACCATCTCCCACAGTGGAACCTGCCAGTGGGGTGTGGACGCCTATGATCCAAACGATTGTCCATCGGGATACCAACACCTTCCTAACGGACAAATTTCCATCGGGCTACCAAGACCTTCCTCTCCTACCCCGGTATGAATAGTGGGATTACAGTCATGTGTGGAAGAATAAGGAATCTAGTTCAGGGAATACTGATCACTCGTGGGGCTGGTGGCCAATTTCGTGGGTGATTTTACGGTCGAGGCTACGGTCGCCAAGGCCACTGTCGGCACATTCGCTTCTTCCAGGTGCTGTTAGTGATGAGGTAGTATAGAGCTGGCCTGGCCATACCTGAGTGGTTGCTATCCTGCAATACAGGTTGGCTCTTAACTTTCTCCCTATTCCAGCAGGCCGGCTACTAGTAGCGGTCTGTTACAACGTTTACCGTTTGTTTTTGCGATAAAATGTAGTTTCTTTAAAGCTCTATTCAGAGCATGACGGGAAGTGTTTGAAAAATAGTATCCAAGGGGTGTGTGGTGATTAAAAATGGCTGAAAAGATAGACTACCCATTTTCCTTCTACGTAGGGTATGCGTTTCCTCACTAGGGGCGTTGTAATCATCTGCATTGTCGTCGACTGATGACCTAGTAGAATAAGTCCAATCAAAGCCCTAGCCAGGACCAGTGAAAGGACCACATTCAAAGCCGGTGCTTGCTGGCTCAAGTAATCATGAGAAACCTCGCCCTTGGCTATTGTGACGGTTGTGAGTTTCAAGTCTATGTAATGCCCGGTCATTTAAACATTGAAAGGAACGGGCATTTTCGAAGTATTTCAAATACATGTCCGAAGATCGACTGGACTTGTGAGTTTGATTGAAGAGTCTGATGAATAATGGAACAACAGACTTGAAATGGATATGATCGCCCCTCTTAGTTGTGGCTTCACTGTTGACTAATTGCTCCATATTGTCACGGCCCACTGAATGATTAGAAATACGTGGGTCCTTAAGGCTCACCACCGTCTTTAAAAACCATGGTGCATTACTAGATCGTACTAGAAAGGGGGTTTAGCTCAATTGCCCGTTTTTTTGTCGTTATGGCTCCCAGGATTTTGTGTGTGACTGCCAGCATATAAAGATGACCTTGGTATACTAATCAGCGACAGTACAGGAATAATGGGCTATATTGGCGGCCAGGCCGTGGCACACCTGATTTGGAAACACCCGGAATTGGAGACTATCGCCCTTGCCCGCAACGCAAGGCATGTCGAAACCATCCAGTCTATTTTCCCACACATCAAGACAATCATTGGTGATCTGGAGAGTGTGGAAATTATCGAATTATAGAGTAAAGAAGCGGACATTGTACTTGCTCTGCCTGATCAATTTCCCTGGGGACTGGTTACGGCACTCCACTAACGACCATATTATTTACTCCTATAGAATGCGCCTTTGCAGATCATCCTGTGGCAGTGCTGCTATCGTCAAAAGAATTAGGTCTAAACCAGCATGCACTTCACCGGGCTTCTATATTCACACCTTGGGAACAGGCATACTGGGGGACCCCTCACAGGACTACGGCCTTCCACTTAACAGGTGTATAATGACATTGCCGATATCAATGTAATTACATCCTTCTCAATGGATCGCTGGCACAGCAATATCGACAGGATCGTCCTGGATGCTACCGCAAGCGACCCGGTCGAGCAGCCGAAGGCCAAGACGGCGATCGTCTGCCCACCCACCATATATGGCACCAGAATTGGTCCAGTTACAAAGCGCAGTGTTCAAATCCCGGATCTGGCAAAAGCCTCGCTACGCAGATGGAAAGCGCTTACTGTCATCCAGGGACAGAACGAGTGGAGGAACATAAATGTCGCCGATTTAGCGGATGCGTATGTTATTCTTGTTGAGGAAGCCTTTAAAGGGGGTGGAAAAGCATATTGGAACGGCGACGGGTACTTCTTCATTGAAAACAGGCAGCATACTTGGAAGGATGAGGCGAAGACGGTTGCCATGGATGGGTTCAAGAAGGGTTATCTGAAAACCCCCGATGCTGAGCCTCGTTCCGTAAAGAAATGTCTTGATATTCAAGAGGGCCCTGCTCTAGGGCCTGCGATCTGGTGAGTAGACTCGCTGGGCATTGTAAGTCGCATTCGTAGACTTAGTTGGAAGCCACACCAACCACCTCAATGGGGATATGTTTCAGAGGCAGTTGATTTGGAGGCTAAAGCTCTGGGGCTCACTTCGTGAGAATTTACTGCGTTACCTTGATCATGCGACGAGTTTGAATCATAGTGCGAGAAGTCTCTATACTAAGTGTGAAGTTGGATTTCCAACATTGGCGGTCGACTAATTTCACCCCTTTGTGGTAAATCAGCGAGCTGGAAAGTCGTATACCTGCTAGCGAAGGCGGTGAACTGCAATATGTGTGAGGAATATTCATTAATTTAGTTCGGTTCTATGGTAACTTCTCGCTTGAGCATGTAAATAGATGCAGAAAACAGCCCTGACAGATAGTGATGCTTGCCGGGGCCGTGATCGGTGAAAAGTAAATTATACTTTAGTCCCCAATAAAGGCTCACGACACCCGAGGTTAGATAAGCATTGATCAGCATTGATTCCTCTTGCTAGACTAGGGAGTATTAGGAATTACTGCAGTAAATGCGCTAGTGACAAGTACGGAACCTTAATTTGTTTCGTCCGTCCCATATTTTATATATAGCGCCCTTTCAGCAACATAGAACCTAGAAGCAGGGTTATATCCTACGTTCGCTGCTTGTATACCCGAACTGCCCGAATTGTGTCAAAATATATTTTGTTCAGCAACCTTGCCATATCAATATGGATAATTCCTGCCCAGAACCAGAATTTTCAATCCCAGATTCAACACCCCGTTTAAGTAAGACCGAGTTCGTGGTTGCTGGTCTTCGAATATACGTGTATATACGTATACGGGCTAGAGGAACTGAAGTTCATGCATTTGTCCAATAACGAAATTACGGTGTTATACCTCGCTCATGGTCGCACGCTCACGTATTTGAATATGGAAGGATTTGCCCATGAGATCCTCCATCAGTATCGTAATGACCGCCGGCCGAGGAAGACCTATTTGATTGCTGTTACGTTAGATATGCCGAACCACGGTGATCGCGAGGTACGTCGTCCCACTCCCTTCACGGTCTCCATGGCTCCTCATGCCAATGGTCCTTATATAAGCGAAGCTAAACCATTGTCTCTATAGATTAGCGGGGAAGCAAATCTTTCCTGGGATTCAGGTAATGAGACACATGGGTATGAGGATTCCAACTTGAACATGTGAAATTAGTCTGATTAAAGAATGATTCCGTAGCCCTGATATGCTCTCCCTTATATCGGCATCAGCGTCTGATTTCGGCATTTTATTCGACTATTTCCCATCCTATATCCCCGGCCGCTTCAAAAAGTTCTACAACATTGCGGCAGGTGTGTCCCTTGAGGACATGTCGCGTGGCGCGTATCCATGTCAGTGGGTGCCAATAAATCCACGGCATCGTACCCATCATCGCATCACAATTTGACCGGCCTCATGCTGTCTCGCCTGGGTGTCGACCCTTCTCTCCTTAAATTGACCTATCGGGACCTATACACCCTCTCCTAGAAAGACTTGGCAACTGTATTGACAGAAGAAGAGCAGCGACGCTGGCCGGAATCCCTCAGTAAGATAGTGCAAGAGACCGACCGTGCTATTGAGGAAGACTTTCCGAAGGATATTCCTATATTGATCCAGAACGGAGAACTAGATCTTCTTGTACCCAGTGAATTTGCAACCCAGCGGGTACAGCATACCAATCCAGATCCGTGCAAGAAGATTGAGTGCTTTGTGCAGAAGAACACAGGGCACACATGTACAAAGGAGATTATCGCTAACACAGCTGATTGGCTAGTGAGGTTGTTTATGATATAGTGTATCGAAGAGATGTATCGAAGAGTATATACATCTGCCTCCAAATGCAAAAAATTGCGTAAGTCCTGGTAAATCCATGTTCAGTCAATAACCGGTCCTTCCACGAATTATCACATATAACAGACCCTCGCATGACGACACCCAAACCAGTAATTGTCCTCAAAACTATAATATTTCACATTCTCCTACCACAACTTATTCAACGGGCTATTTTTTAACTATACCGTGCCTGAATCTAACGAAGACGTTGAAATTTGCATTCTGGAAGCCATTGAAGCCATGCCAGCTTTCAAAAGGCCAACTGTAGTCAATTGGGCACGTAAAAGACGCGTTCCATGTCAACTTCTCCTCACCCAGTGGAAGAGTAAATCCCTCGTTCAACACCCCTATACCTATCGGAAGTTTCGTTCTACGTAGGGACAAACTCTGTGTGACTGGCCCCTATGCGAAAGCAGGTCAATCAGGGTGCTAAGTGTATCATTCGCGAACACTATGCCGCGTCCACCGAACCTCCTCCAGTCCGTGAAAATAGCTGAAACTCTTGCAAGGTCGGCATCATGAATATCACCGACTACGCTGAAGGGTGGTAGATATTTAGAGCGACAGGTGCCAGATAGATCGGTGATTCAGAGCTGGTATAATACCCACGGCGAGACTCACTTAAAGAACGGCATCAACCCGGAAGGTATCTGGAATTTTGACCAGGCGAATTCCCAAATTGCGTTGAAAAGATCAATGAGGTATCACACGCAAACCTAAGCAAAGAGCTTTGGCGACAGCGTTATCAGTCGCGAATTGGTGACAGCTATTAAGGCTGTTTGAACAGCTGGATCAGCATACCTCCGGTTAAACTCCTTGGCGCACTCCAGGTCCCACTACGCAGCTTTGAACACCAACAAGAAGACAAGAGTATCACGGTGACTCAGACTAGCTATATGAATAATAGCCTCGCTACCAGTGGGTTCAGAATATCCACATGTCAGTTTGTGAAAAGCTTAGTTGACCTGCGATAGGTTTAGCTTACGTCTTAAGTACGAAGGCGTCAAATTTGCAAGCAAAATAGGATTATCTTATTCATTTTACCTTAGCATAGTAGTAATATCGTTCAACCGTTGGACGCTGGTGTTTTTATGTGCACAAACACTGTGGAACCCAAACTGTTAAGGATACAACCGTTACCTGCTTTGAACAGTTCACTGAGGATGAACTTCCTCACTGCGATCGCCGCGATACAAGCCCTTCAAGAAATCTGCTATTCAGCTTAGCTTTAGATTAACAAGCTTATGGCCTATTCATTCTGAGCGATTTGTGAATAATTTCTGGTTATAAGTTAGACGGAGTTGAAGGGAGAGTAGTATTGGTGAAACTATACGCACAATCCCATCCTTCCGATTCAAACAAACTCAGCACTTCAGCGCCCCCAGAGTGGGCGGTCAGATCAAAGAAGAACTAGAAGATCGGATAGAACAGCTTCATCGGCAATTAACCAAATTCGCTACTCATTCAAAGAGGAATGGCGAAAGCGGCGAAATCGGCGCGCATATTCGCTTATGTTACATGTCAATTCAAGACTGAGTTAGACCTGTCTATAGGTACAGCCAAGAGGGGTTCTATCCGCCCACGCGCGCTATGATAAATCTCGCGAATATTTAAGAATTACGGTATAATCTCCTCTTCAGATCAAGCGAATTGAATGAAAGGGGACTGAATAAGTGGCGTTAAACTCCCCTCGGCCGAGGTGAAACGCGTCATACGCGGGTTTTGAATGAATTGTAAACTCACACGGCGCAGAATTAGGTGATTTTAGTATGAAAATATAAAAATATATGTCCTTGTAATATATTATAAAGTTTAAATCGGCCATGAACTACTAACACTGACGTAAAATGGTGGGCGGAAGGAGGTAGCGTTTAAAACCTGTAGTGGGGTCAATTTTCATTTAGGAGGCGAGGGTCAGCCGCGGTAATGTATACGTGTTTCTTTCCAAGCATGGCCCAAATAAGCCGGATGTTGTGACGTCATAAGCGGGAATAGTTAGGGTTTGGTTTAGGTTTAGTGTCGGAAATTGTAATTCCGACCATTTTTTAATCATAAATGAAATCCTGCCCCGGGTTATCTTCGCCCAACTGCTGCATAGGCCACCTCCCTCAAAGGGGCTGGGAACAAAGTTAACTTATTCACTATTTTGTAGGACAGGAGTGACACCGACCATGCGGAGCATGGAACTGCGACTTCGCCCTCCATGGCCTAGAGAACAGGGGGAAAATAGTATGCGAAGGGAAATTTACAAGAAGGATCCGGTATAACAGCTTTCATACAGATACATGAGTCTCCTAATTTTCTACAGAGGCGATGGTTTATCAAGGACTTTTCCTCATTAACCTGCTCCGGCTCGCTAAAATAGCGGCTGGAGTGAACTTTATGCTTTACAGTTATGATGCTGGTGTGCTGGGAGGAGTTCAGTGTACGAGACCGTTTCATGATACCATTAGGGTAATGCGCTGGGTTTACCGCCTCGTCATTGACTATGGCGGTTTAAGTACAGGCTCTGGTCTATTAACTGTTTCAGAATCCTTAGCCTAGCTATTTTGAATTTGGTTACAGTCCTGCTTCACCTTTACTTCCCTTGCCGTGATGTCTATACTACCCCGGTGGCTTAATTATCCACTATAAACCTAGTGAACAGCTATTGGAAATCAACTCTTTGGGATATAGACACCCATACTATCTCATGTGACGAGCTCTAACGCACCAGTTAACAGGCCCCGCTGGAAGAAGCCGAAGCAATGCACAGATTTAGCGATTCTAAAGCTTGAACACAAAGTTGGAAATGGATCGAGGGGTATGGATCTGATCTGGTCAATTTCTTCGGCTTCATCGTTCTACTCGAATGCAGACACTTTATCCGGAGACCACGTACTGGGTTCATACTCCACATGCTCGACAATCTGATGGGCAGTTCGAACTTTGAGATTTTGCAGCCACTATGAGTACAAGCCGCTTCCTAGGTGTCAATATTATGGTCTGATTGCCACTACTATTTTTTGCTAAATTCGGCCTCTCTGCTTTCATGCCCCAAGTTCTTGTGGCAGCGTTGAACACTCAGGTAAGACTAAGTTGGCTCAGCCTGGGAAAGGGGATTTGACCTGATAGTCGTTTGGCCTAGTTTTCCCTCGGCTGTGGGGCAATACCACTGACTGTTTAACGATTTGGACGTCACAAACTGTAACCGGCCCAAAACCTTTAAACGGTTCGAATGGAAAAACAGGATTGTTGGGGCCACCACTATTTCAGTTAAGCATATTGAAGTGAGCATAACTAAATTATAATCCAACGTCAAGGGAAATTTCCGACTACGGCACCACTAGGTTAAAATAAAGCAAAGCAGGGTTCTTCTGGTTAAATGTGTCGGGCGGCTCAACGTTTTTGGTTCACTGCTTCCGTATGTTTGTATACGAGTTCACATACGCTGTTAAGGACGTCTCCGCCTCCTTAAAATATCCGCCCGCTTCACTATGCTCTTATGTTCGTATAAATTGAGTCAACATAGTTGGGCTGTCACGAAGTTTACTGAAAACCGGCGACATAGCAGGATAAGGGGACGGGAAGAATTGCTTGACTTTCCTAAAAGGGCAGACTTTAATTCCTTTTGTTCTGCTAGTTTCTTACGACAGACAGTGCAACCGCTACTATTCACACAGAAGGGAGAGAAAGTCAAACGGCCATACGGAGGGTGGCGCAACAATAGTGATATTGCACGTCGTTGAAAAAGATGTTCAGATGAAGGAGCACAGTCTTGACAATCTTGTTAGATAAAGTGCGGGAAACGTAAACAAGTGTCCTTGATTGATTCGAGTCATTACTCTGACTTCACTTGGCCAGAGTCGTAGGTGGATTGCTACGTCCAGCATGCAGCCCTCCGGTTATAAGAATATCATTCCCAGTTACGTACGATGATGCATCGCTCATGTAGTAGGCAACTGCACCTTTGATATCCGCCCGGTTGCCTATACGCCCAAGTGGCGGGTCTTCTTTCATGAGAGCTGCGAGAGATGGGAACCGTTCCATGACCCCTTCGATCATTGCAGTATAAATATATCTGAAGATGGTTAGTCTCCAACGCAAACAAATTCGATCAAGAAATAGAAAGCCAGCTCCTACCCGGGAGAAATAGTGTTCACACGGATATTCTTCGGCCCAAGCTCGACAGCTAGTGCATGGCCTAAAGCCTTGACAGCCCCTTTGGAAGCGGAATATGCGGAGACATGTTGAGTTGGCAGCGTTTGGTGAGCACAGATGGACGCAATCAGCACAATGCTGCCTCCGGTGCCTTGAGTCTCCATTTGTCTCGCAGCCAACTGGGGCGCTGAAGTAAGTGCCAACCACCTAGAACGTTTACTATCTTAGCCACGTGGGACCTGAACCAGGGGAATGTGATCGTACATTGACCATCTGAGCCCGGGTGACGCTCTCCCAGGTATCTTCAAGGAACGGTGCATCGTAGACAATACCTGCCGCAGCAACGCTGCCCATCACCATCAGTGGCTGATTCAAAGAGATTGAATATTGCGTCTTACCATCCATCGATTCGCCCAAATTCGTCAACGACTTGAGCGAATGACTTTTCTAGTGATTCTTTCTCGGTCACATCTGTGCTAAGCGTACGGGATAGACACATTAGCTCTGACCTAAGTTGATATTTTGCTCACAACATAGAAAAATTGACATACTGGTAATACCGTTGAAGTGTCAGCCTCCAGAGAGTAAGTAAATAGTGTCCGTGATAAACAGATGAATAGAGGAATGGAAGAGATGGAGATAGAACTTGTAATGAATTAGATCATCTTCATAATTAAAGGAAGGTTATGGGGTGTGAACAAGTAAGAAAATGGCGGCCACCATGGTCTATAAAGGCGTGCCCCTCCTGCCTATCAGGCCCTTTTCTGCCATATCCAACCGCCTTCGACCTTAACATATAGTATTCACTCTTTGTAATAATGTCAAAATATGTTGACAGAGCAAGCTGATACAGTATAGACTGATATCCATATTGGTAAATGAGATCAAGCGGAACCAGTATCAGAATGAATAAGATGGTTGATTGAGTCAAAATAGAAGAGTCTTGGGGTAGGTTGAAATACCCCCTGAATGTATCTGGTACTTGGGGTTGCGACAACCAAGTTACCAGGAAATCAAGTTATGATATAAAACATAAGGAAATGTGAGTCAATCTGTAATCCTCCTGACTTAGCGGTAGGTTACTGCTCCATTTCTGCGACATCTCATTATCACAGAATTGGATATTACTACCATACATATTGTTACGTACCAAGCAGATACGAAGATCAATAGTTCGATTTGGTGCAATCTGACGAAATATCAAGTCTGAAGGGGAAAGGGAAAAGAAGAAGGTGGCTAGGGACGAGCCTTTTCTCCCTGGAAACTTCCCGAAATGGTAATGCTTGCCTCTACCCGAACCCTTCATACAAACAAACAAGCAACATTCGCCAGTTGTGTCCTCCTGCTCATCCGTCACACATATAAGATACCTACCTCAAAAGAACCTTCAGTATTAGCTATTATGTCTAGTAATAGATAATATCATATAAACTAGCTGTTGTTACAAGCCAAAAGGTGGAGTTCGAAAACTGCCCGTCCATTCAACGAAGGTATCAGGACTGAGGAAGAGAAGGGAAGTGAAATCTATCTAGTGGGATGGTGTTTGATATATCCCCTGATAAGAAGCGCCTTCTCGTATCATCCTGATTCGGCCATGTTTGTCCTCATCATCAGTTCCAGGTCGTCACAGAGACTCTAACGGGCTCTATCCAGCAGCTAGAGCTACCAGGTAATATACCTGTTATCCATATGCCACGTATCGCACATGTGATGCAGCTCTGTTTGAAGGAGCTTCGTGGTCAGATGGAAATGAATCCGAAGAATGAGAGGGAGGAGATAGATTTACCGGGCGAACTGGTTCTTCTCATCAGACACACGGCAAGGTTATCTACCCCTTAAATAAGTTGATTATCTCTCACTTATCTCTTAAATTATCCATGCTAACCATTTTCTCTACTAGATTCGAAAACTTTCTGTACAGGTCAACAGGAGTGCCCAGCGCCTGGAGCATTTCTTGGAGCTTCATGTCAAAGAGCCAAGCTTGTGCCGATGTAAAATGTCAAGACCCGGTGGAAATCAACCTTTCTGATGCTCTGGCGAGTGAAGCTGCTACAGTCAACGTTTGATAAGTTCTGCCAGGTATATAACCTGCCAAGTATATAGCCAGATGGTTCTTCAACTAAGCGAAGAGGAATGGCGCCAGGTAGCTATCTTTGTACAGCTCAGGCACCAAGATATCAAATCGACATGGCAGCATTCGACGAAGGAATCTAGTCTAGAGAAAGGAAGAAGGAAAAAGATAGTGAGAGGTGACCGAACACAGCCGTTATAGCCAGTGTTGGCCTTAGGCGTCCGATGCCATCAAACTTCCAAATCCGGACATGCGTGCCTTCATTCAAACATCCACACAACAACCTAACTGACTAGTTCGTCCCAAATGTCCCCAAACCGTAAAAATCTCTGTCAATAACACAACCTTTCAGGGACTTTACCAATAAGGTATCGAAGAGTAGGGATGTTACTATCCATACAGTCTTTGGTATCTACAACGCCCTCTTTGCCCATCAGGAGAATTCAAAGAGACGGCTAGTGGGAAGGAAGGCTCCATGGAAGACTGTCATTCTTAGGGCACTGTACTATGCCAGGAAGAAGTTTTCGTAATACTATAGTTGAACTGATGAGGTTGACGACGATATCTATGCAATCGCAACTATCATGGCGCCGCAGAATAAGCTCGAATTCTTCCAGAAGCCGGAGTGGGAGTCAATATGGGCCCTTCGCTACAAGAAGAGTCTTGAGAAGTATCTTGTTCTATATGAGAAGCAATATTGGCAGTTTCAGCCAGGGGATCGTGATATTCCTCCGGATATCTAGATAACTGACGCCCTTTCTAAACCTGCTTCTGGTTCAAGCGTTGAGCGCTTATTTAATTCTGCTAGCGACGTATGCCACTACGGTCGAGGGTCTTTGAAATCAAAAGACTATTCAAGATTTGTTGATGATGATGTGTACAACCAGATTCGATATGAAATCAGACGAGTTATCCTTTATTGACCAATACCTAACTACCTAAGAGCTATATGCAAGGAGGGAAGAGGCAGATGCTTAGAAAAAGAGGGAGGTATTTGACCTAATTAGTGATAACGAAGAAGAAGAGGACCAAGCTGATCGTGATGAGGATGATGAGGCCGATAGGGATGATAGAGATGATGAAGTTGCTACTGGTCCCTCGTCAAAGCTGACCCAGCTAGCTAGTGAGAATACACTTGGTAAGAGACAAAGGGTTGAATCATTGGTATTGATCACTTCTCATAACAGGTCGCTCCCTATTCAACGTGATAATGAGGATGAGGAAGGTGGTGAGATCCCGCTTCCCGAGAATAGTGCTACTCAGCGGCGGACATCTGGAAGGGCCTAAAAACGTACACGAAAAGATGAAGAAATATTTATATTTTCTACGCCATAAAATCTAATTAATACATCTAAATCCTCCTATTTAACACTCATTATAGACCACTTCTTACTATTAGTCTATATTCTATCGATTCTATTTCCTAATTAATGTAAGATACGGCAAGAGTGAAGAGTCTTGCTCTAAGGCCTTGCTTTATGTAAGTTACATGCCCACAATATAAACCGCGCTTTCTTCCGTATCTAACAGTTTTTGGCCACGGTAACACACAAATCTAGAGATAATTTCCGTGACACTTTCCGAGGCTGATCCCGGTAATACCGAATTCGAACAGGTGTTGTTCCATCTCAGAAAGGTTAGCGGTAGTTTGCGGGTCAGCCTCCGGCCATTGGGCATTGTCCAGGTTCTCGAACGCATGTTGTAGGATTGAAGATAAGTCCGACGGACTGTCAAGAGTCTGGCTATTACCAGAGCCTTGTGACATCACGTTTCTGCAAGAGCACCGCACTGTACTAGCCGCAGCTGTAAAGGTACTGTCGTATTGACCTCTGGCATGGAAACACTGCGAACAGTTACTGTGTGGTCGAAATGCCTTTAACCATTGGATAAAGTCCCGTCCACTTGCTAGCCAAACTTTTGTAGGGGGCAACAAGTCAAGCTTTTTGATCTCTCCTAGTAGCGACGCCGGGATCATGCTCTCGAAATCTTCTGCATCCAAAGCAGATACAGTCGCATGGTTCATCAATATGCGTGGTTTGGCATCTGTGGACAGGTCCAAAAGAACAAGCTGACTAAACAGGGACCCCCACAGCCTTTTCCGGAGACCTCTTTCTGCAAGTGGTAGATCGGGTGGTTCACAGTCTAACCGGATCCTAATGGCAATTGCGTGGGCCAAGCTGAGCCAGAATAATGTGTCTTGGGGGGACTCATCCTCACAAAAGCTCATTAACAAGAGGCCTTGAATGGCGGCATATGATTTGAACGGTATTTCGCTGTGGTAATGGGACTTCTTGTAGTTAGTCAATGTAGAGGAATTGGAGCAGGAAATGTATAACCTTTGCCTGAAAGAAAAACTGGTCAAACATATCTTTGCGGGGCAATCCTCCAAAGGATTGAAAATGATCGTGACGCGAAAGCATCACTGAAGTTGCTAAAAAAGCATTTAGAAGAAACCACCCACAGGATGGAGATTCGCCGTCCGCCAGGGAAGCAATGGCAATTAACTGCTGAACGGTCATTACTGGCAATGAGGGATGAATGAAGCGCAGATAGCATTGCACCAAGTGGCGTCGTAGGACTTGGCTTCTAGTTGCTTTAATTTCGTTGTTTTGTGGGACGTTCTCATCCGAGAAAGGATCAAAATCAGGCAACGGTGAGTCTGTAACTGCGCATTTGTTGTCTTCCCCGATATCCATCTTTTCTTCCAACCAAGAAATGCTTGGAAAACACTTGCGGTTATATGGGTTCGACGCAGTATATGTCTTGTATCTCTTTCTTCTCAGATCGATTTCGCACGTGGCTTTATCCAGTGAGCAATTGGTGCAGGTGCCTGCCTGAATCTGCACATCGCAACGAACCTTTCTTCGTCGGCAAGAGACGCAGGCAAACCCCGCCCGTAGCTTACTTGATGGCTTTGAGCTGACTGCAGAATCAGTCACGATTGCCATTGAGGTTGTATCAATTCGCTTTGCTGTTTTATCAAGCATGGGTGTAATAGTCATCACCAGATGCCTTGTTTTGCCAGCGTCCAAGATGGGCTAAGAAGTTGATATTTCAGTCCACGCTGAACGTTAGTTTCGTCCGCTTTAGGTGTAAAGTTTGCCTCTGAACCGTGTTATATTTCTTGACCGCTGCACGCTGGTTATCATCTCTTTCCGAGGCAAGCATAGAGCGGCTATGTATTAGATCATATTGTTATTGGTGTTTCCAAGGTTTGTATTGCAGCCTGACAGATGAGATACTTGAACCAAGCAGAATCGGACGCCTAGAGAATCTGAGCGTTAGGTTGGTATTGCCAAGGCCCCATAGAAAGGCTCTGCTTTTTGCCGTGCCAAGTAAGATGCGTGTCTAAACCATGGTATTTCGGAAATAGCGGTTCCGAGGCACCCACATTTCTAACGCCACATACGCCATTAAGTAGCGGAGGCAACATCTGATTGCTCTATATCTAGGTGAACAGATGCATAGGAGCCGACCAGGGTCAAAAATCTCGCCAACGACGGGCCCGATTGTAAGAATAAAATCTATTCGCAGGGTCGAGGGCCTGTCAGGTAGGTAAGGAAGTAAGCAGTCGGTTCAATTTGAAGCAAGACCTTTTCTTGAGAAATCCTTTAAGATGCAACGGAATGCTCTATTTAAACACTCGAATCCACGTAGCTTTCAATGGTCTCCTCGGCCCTCTGTCCTAGCTGATTTGAAATCAAATATGAGGGGTCATATAGGAAGGATACATTATATAGGATAACCTAGAGGCATACATACATGATGCTGCAGCTGAAACGCAAAAATGAGGTTCGATCTCGCTGTCCTGTCTCCTAAGTCTCACCGCCGGTTGCTTAGCGGAGAGATGCAGTCCTACCACCGCGCTCCTGTCCTCGGGAATAGCTTCATGAAAGGAAAGTCCGTAACACTGATTGTGGAGTGGCTACTAGAGAAAAGCACTATTTCTCGTTGTTGCCCCACGGCTCGGCTGAAATCTTGGCTCCAGTGCGCTGTGTGGCTGTGTCGCATGGTGAATCTAAATGGCCATCAGCAAAATTAGGATGATTTTGAAATTTATTGCATTGAAGTTGTTGATCCGCGAGTTGACTGCCTGCATACCCATGCTAACAGGAAAGTAACCGATATACTGCTCACTTGTGAGCTAAACTGATTCTGACTGGGCTCTAATACTTACCTGGGACCGTACACCGGTGACTTCATTGCCAGCGCGTATCTCTCTCAGTGACATATTTCTCTACCTATTGCGTTTGCTCCACTAATTCGATTTTGGGGTCAGCAACCTCCCTTCAACTCTGTCTTTGAGTAAAGTAGCATCGCCGACTGTTCCGCCCGACCGGGAACTACGTTAATCTGTTGTGACGTGGCTAATAAAAAACTGTGGCGTCCTTGCCAATTCCCCATAATTAGAGGTGCCCCCAACAAAAATAAGGGAGTCCCTATCAATTTCCCGCCGCCTGACAGCGGATTACATCATCTAGAGGTTTACGGGAAACACAACCGCTCTACATGACTACGTCAATGATGTTGCAGTATATAGGAAGCTTGTCATTCTGAATTATGAAGGATAAAGGCTTTACATATACAGTATAAAGACCCATCGACTTCTAGTTCTATTTATTTGCATGTACAAGTCCATGTATTACTTCCGAAGTTGCTCTTTCGTTCCTAAGCAGCAAGTGCCTTATATCACAAGAACTTAATATATATGTCGGTGCTTATTGCTGCGCTCCTTTCCTTTCCGTGCAAGTTCTCAAAGTCCAAAGTCTCGTTCTGGGGCTCAGCATGGGGGGAGATCATTTCCGACGCTTTGAATAGAGATTTCCCACCATAGCTCCCCCAGCAAGGCCGCTTAGTCGCCCGGTCAATGCAAATCCAAGAAGGCCACCTCCAATTGTGCCTTTCATATTACTTGATTTACGATTCTTTTCTTGCAATTCTGGGCGGTACCGGTCGTGTTGGCGAAAGTCAGGTTCGGATGATGCTTGCATCATCTGCTGAGGAAACTGGCTACGAGAAGCAGGTTGCTGATAGTGCATTTGGTGGTCCGGTAAGGGAGCGGCAAGATCAGCGAATGTATTCCCATGCATCATTTGAGTACTGGCAGGGTCGAAGGCTTGATTATACCCAGGCTCTCCTTCTCTGCTGTTGCTCGCAAGGGCCGTGGACTGATTTGGTTGTGTTGTAAACGGGTTGCAATTCTCCTAACCCTCTCAGCACATTAGGGCGACTTCTGAGAGATGTAGATACCGGCGTGGAGACTCACCTTTTTGTAGGATGGGGGGGGGGGGACATCCTGAAAGACGTTCCCTTCCTGCAACGCTTGCGTTCTTTTCTCCATAACAGTTACACGTCGGACTGTAATCCTGTCTCCGGTTTCGGTTTACTGTCTGTGAGGTCAACAAGCCTTGAGATAGGAAGTGCCACACTCCTGGCCTCAGGAAACAATTTAACTAGAAAAAGATATTGCTGTCTAATCTAATCAAAGACCATTTACTCTTATTACGTCTTTTGCGCCCCTACGGCCGTAATATTAACCCCACAAAGGCACAGCCTGACCGGTGGGGCCTATGCCCACTTCATGATAGAAATCTACCTAAGTGAGGAGGGTTATGAGGGAAATAGTTTTACTACCGTAATTTCTATCCTGGACGTATCCATGCCTTTTAGCCTACCTTCGGCCAATCCAGTCCGCTTCGAGATGTGGGTACGCTATAGCGAAACCGCATTTTTTCACTAAATACGCCGATTTCATCCCATTCACCCCATTTACAAGAATTCTTAATACGTTAACTCTGTGTTCAAAAAGATATCCCGGCGCCCTCGAGCTACCCTCTCCGCCTTGGTTGATGAATCTCGGTATATAATTCCTTTCACTGCTTTCGTAGTGGCTTCTCCAAGACAGCATTTCTTTAGCCTTCCTGACCGCAATTGATCAATTCCTATCGCGTGGAGTCAAACACCACGCTGGCCAAGCCGCTGAATCCGTCGATTAGTGTATTGGCGCTGTACGGTCCTTGTGCTTCTCTGATTCGCATGACTATCTCTTGGGCCATCGAGAGGTTCTCTTGTGCGTTTCGCTAATGTCCAAAGTCTTTAAGACCTCGCTGTAAATTGAGTGTAACAAGGCCGTTATCCTTCGAGATCTTAAGCCTGGCTCTCCTCAAGTGTCTCCCTTCATTTTGAAGAGTGATTTTCAGTAGTTGAGGATCCCAGGAGTGGCGGGGATGTTGTACGAAAGCTATTGGAACGAAGATCGGGCGCAATCCGATCCGGCCTATTCACTA